AAAGACCGCCCTAAGGTGATGAGCAATGGAAATTTACAAACCGAATGCGAATGCGTATAATATTTGAAACAGAGTAAAACCACACATGACTAATTTAAAGCTAAATATATAATTTAGTCCCTATAAGAAATAACCTGCGATGGTCGAACCAGTGCAACTAGCCCCATATTTTCTAGCAATAATGTAATACCAAAATAGATCTAAGGTCAGTAAGACATGGATTCACAAGAAACCATTTTTAACAGACACTTCAATTAAAAATGAAAGATACAAAAAAGGCAAGGGAAAGTGAACCCAAACCCAGGAATTAACTAGAAATAAGATGACAAGAAAACTCTGTAATGTATCAAGATCAAAATTCACAAGAATAATCCATTACAAATGTAATTAGGTAATAAAATGATTTTACTCTCACCATAAACAATGATGAATGCTGAGTATCAATAGCTTCTATATATGGAGCCATATCCCACCCTGCATAAAAGAAAAATTGCTCGGATTATCGCAAAAATGGAAAGTTAAGAAACAAATGTCATCTTTAAGTAGAGATAGCAAGCAACTAGAATGAAGGAAGTGAAATTGGTGTCTCTAATTACCCATGGACGACCCAGCACTCATTTTATATTACCACAATCTAGTTCAAACTTATAATTCAGTTTTCTTAGAATTAATACAATTTGGTTCAAATGAAAATGATTTTGAATGACAGTTCTCAATTAACATTGAAATAAAAATAAATAATAAAAAAAAATAACACAACTTATGTTATATATATGTTCCAGTTGTTTCTGAATAACTTTATTTCAGTAGTTTTTTTAAGCTAAAAATGATGTTTTCAAATCCACTTCAAAGGAAAAATATGCATTTAATCGATACATGATGGAAAATAATGGTTCAAAAACCACATTTCCATATTATTTTAGATCATTGATTGGTAATTGACACAAGTTTACAGCTTAATCATTAGCATGCTACATGACACTCATATAAAGCAGAGCACATCAAACAAAGACTATAACAGAATATTTGAATCACACTGTACAAGTATAGCACCTAGTAGTTCCAATTTCAAAATCAAGACTCAAATTCAAAATTTAAAGTACAACCAATCAGATCCCCTCCAGCAAGACAATAATTGTAGGAAAATTGAATACTCATGTGCAGTGTACAATAGCGAGTGTCAGGTAGATCCTTACCGCTATAAAATTCCATCAAAATAATGATAAAGAATAATTCATTTACTTTTTAAAAGTGCAGGTCAATTTTTTTAAAATCCACTCATCATACTTAACGATATAGTCACTTTAACCCTGGGGTGCAGTTAATCTCACGACATATTCACTGGTGGAGATGGGTTAGCACTCAGATGTAAATGAATAGACAAACAAATAATCAATGTTGTCATCATATAATATATATGTATATATATATATATATATATATTTTAATAAGTTTTTTTAAAGTTCTTAGAATTTTGTCACGAGATTCAAACTCTTGCTAAAGTCTCTCATTAATTATTATCGCAACCAAGAAAGAAACCAAAGCACATAAAATTTCTTCATAACACACTCACTCTGCATCTCATCAGATCGAGAACTCTTCTCAATTAGAAGGCATTTTGCCAAAATGGTTGCCTGCTGGATTGCCCTAAGATTAGAAACAGTGGAACCACCATTCTGAGTCCCATCTGCTCCAGTTCCAGCCACATTATCATTATTTAATAACTTTGGTGTCATCAATATGTCAGAGTTCTCTAAAGTTTTGTTTTGGGAAAGCATATTATCTTTATCCATTGTATAACCATGCGTCTGGTTCCCATGGTCACTGTCTGACGAGTCTGTATTTGCAACAAGTACCAACTGTGCCTTTGGTTCCACCTACAACAAAAAAATATCTTGAAGCTGAAGAGACTGAAATTTCAAGTAACCTCTAAATTGTATTTTTAAAGTTACTCACCTGATATGAAGTACGAAAACCAAGAACACCTGTAATAGAAAGCTGAAGACCAGATTCCACTTCAGCTGACTTAAAATGCTGCCTGCCAAGTAACTATCTTAGCAAAAATTAAATTGAGCAAAAGGAAATGATAGTTGTGACCGAAACTTAAAATTTCAACAAGTAGACAGATTAAGAACCTTAAAAATTTTGAGTTATTCGTGTATGGCACAGTGTGAAACCATTCTCAAGATAAGAATGCAGGGGAAATAAAGCACGTAATTCACTGAGGCTAGACCATGCATTAATCATTAATGAATAAAATTAGGACGATTTCTCAGGATATCTTAATTCTTACATGCACGAATCAACTCTTCCATAATAATATTCCATAATCCCAGCTTCCAAATGAACCATGGAGACAATTGCTGAGGCCTCTCCTTCGTGTAAATTGGCACCCCAATAACTCTTTACGTTTTCCAGAATGCCAAAATCAAGTAAGGCTTCACCCATAAGAACTTGCAAAAGATCAAACAAAGAAGAGGACCGCTCATCTAAAATTCTCTGTTGAAAAAGTACGACCCTGTAAAGCCACCAAGAAATGCTTTTCATCCCATAAGAACCCACATTTCCCTTGAACAGCACGTCTTTTATCCTTGTGAGCAGCATCTTTGCAAGCACTATATACTACAAGACATGAAGAAACGCTATCTCAAAAGAACAGCATTCCAAATACTGCAAGAATATCATGACTGGAAATCTTAAAATATGAAATAAACAAACACACACATGCACATGAATAAAATCATACGTACACGCAAGCACATGTGTGCATATATTGTATGGACGTCAACGAGATGCGACGTTTTTATAAGTTGTACGGCCGTACCTGAATATTAATGAATTTACCAAACAAGTCGGACCCGGTAGACATAAGCTGATGCCTCGCCCAATTATCCCACTCCACGAAATCTTCAGTTTTGGGCTCTGTGACTGCCATGGGAGATCTAGCTAGTTCCTCCAATGGTCTAGAAAATTGCATACATAAAATAAAAGCACCACTTAGGAAATAAAGAGAAAGATACTAGTATCCCATCATTCTAAATCTCCGATATGAGTAGCCGAAGAGCCTCTAGTTAGATAAAGTAACAACTTTAAAGGCGGGAAATCGTATTTTAGCTCACCCAGTCACGTTACTCTGAGTAAACGCGAGAAATGATGCAATTGCAACACAAATCACGATCGTCAGTCGATAGGCTTTGTCTTCCTCGTTTTCAGATTCGCCGAATATGAAAGTCTCGGCGCGCTCGAGCAACTCAATGTACACCCGCTCGGCGCACTCGGTCGAGTCTGTGAATTGACAAGGCGACTGACTGACGAGTCCGAGCACGAGTCGAGAAGCCTCGGAAGAAAGGGCTTTCCCATAGTCGCCGGCTACAATAGAACTCACGAAGCTGTCAAGAGGTTCATGGAGATAATTGGGTGAAGTTTGATTTCGAGAAGCTGCCGGACAATCTGACGGCGGAGAAGAGAAGGTGCAGCGGAGGAGACGGAGCTCGTGAGCTCGGAGAATCTCAGGCGCCGATTCCGACATGTTCGTCACTGTCCCAGAAGGTACGACGTTCGATATCGTTGGGGTTTGAACGGTGGCGCCACCGCGCGCGTGGAGCGGCGAAGGGTTTATGGGTTTAGGGAATGGAATATGAATTTACCTATCAAACCCTAGACATATTTTTTAAATAAATTTAGATAACAGATTTTCTGTAGACATTGTTTTATGCGAATTATTATATCAATTTTATGAAATATATTATTTTAAAAAATCCTATAAATTAATGGAATCTTTAAAGTTGTAATATTGAAAATAACAGCATTTTCATTGCCTGATCGCCTATTCAACTCCTTGCTTATAGAAACCATTGAATGATGTTGGAAAAAAAACTAATTGAATGATAGATATTTGTTGTTATTATAGTCAAAAACTCAATCTTTAATCCATTTGAAATCAAAGTGATTTGAAAATTATGTCCCTTCAAATGATGGAGAAAGATGTTTAAATTGAATCGGATGAAAGATGTTTAAATTGAATCGGATGAGAGTCTGTAAATCAAAATAGGTTCATATCTTATTCCAAAAATTCATACCAAATCATATGAATCACCTCGAAATTCATACTCTATGCACATTTTACAATAACTTTAAAATATATATATACAAATTTCATAACTATAGTTGAACGAGTAAAACAACAATTTTAGAAAATGTCTGAGTATATATGCCCTTTAGGTTAAAGACAAAATTACCTCGACTTCCTTAATTTATTGAAAATTATAATTAGTGTCATAATTTTAATTGTTTTAAAAAACAAATGGAATAATAATTTCAATTGAATATATTTATTTATTTTATCTATATAATATATAGATAAAATAAATATATTTATATTTAATATTTAAATAGATAAGTATTTTATAAACCAGTTCCAAATATAAGGAGTACATTTAAATATATAAATTTACCGTATAGAGTAAAATTAAATAGTAGACAGAAGAAAATGAAAGGACTATAATAGATATTCAAACTATCAATATATTATACACTTATTACAATTTATTTGAGTTTAATGCAATTGAATAAAAAAAAGGGGCGAATTTTTTTTAAACAAAAAATAGTGGGTTATATACTGGTTTATTTTAATCCATGTATTTCATTTTCATCCGTATAGTATTTATTTTTGTTGTTACTGTATTTTTTTTTGTTTAATTTTCACTTTGATTCATGTATTTATAACAAATTAATATTTTAGTCCTTCAATTCTTTCTTATTTCATTATTTTCTATCAAAATTTTAGTATGACATGTCTACCGTATATTTTTATTGAGATGTAACAAAAAAATTGTATTAAATAATTTACATTAGATAAGACTCAAAGGGATAACACGTTTAATGTTTCCCACATCCAAACTTTGGAGTAGAGAAACAAAACTCCAGACTCTCAATTATAAATAAAAAATAAAAAAAAAAGAATTTACACTATGTATAAAATAGTATTAAAATTTTGCATATAAAAACTAGCTGAATCACTTTTAGAAAATATATTAATCAAAATTTAAATTTTGACAAATACACTGACTAAAATAAAAGTTTTTTTTATAATATATTTACTAGAATAAACAAAATCCAAAATAGCATTAAACCATTAAACCTAAAATAATTGAGAAGGAGGAGACAAATGAGTGGCTGGAAAAATGAGCGAGTTTGATGGCTGAGGCTGGCTCCGAGCATGTGGTGTGGTCTTACACCTGTATTCCACGTCATCTTCTGCACATGCCGACAAATCGACAATTAACCCACAACGTCAAAATCTCCCCACTCTCCCTTTCATTGTTTCGCACGCCTTTTGTGGAAGAACAACAAATTTACCTTTTTCTCCCCATTTGCTATTACACGTCAGCCGTCACCACTTCATTTATTGTTATATTTACTTCGTCCCACAACAATTGTTGTCAGTGTCACTAATAATTATCTATCTATAGATAAGAAAATAAAATTCACCTCACAATGTCCTTTTTTGTCTTTTCGACCTAAGGGTTATTAAGCAGGTATTTCAAATTTTCCTAAAATTTTATTTTTTCTGACTTAATTGCTTAAGTAAGTTTAAGTCGGTGAAATCTACAAAATAAAATAATTATCGAAAGAGCCAAATTATATATTTTATATCGTATGTATGTATATATGGTTAAAAAAGTCATGGTACTTTTTATAATGTGACGATTTAGTTATTGAATTTTAGTTTGTAACGATTTAGTTTATATGTTTTTAAATTGGTAACAATTTAACCATTTTTTTAAATAATCCAAGGAACATAACAAATATAGGAACTACTAAAGGTACTAAAGAAACAAGAACAACAACTACTAATTCATCGACTAATATATTCATGAAAAGTGGCCTGNAGCTGTCTTTCGAGATTTTTAGGTTGCATGCCCAAGACAATGTTTTTTTTTTTTTTTATAGATTGAGATGGATTGATCTTCGCTAAAATAATTATCCAACGAACCAAATTATATATTTCATATTGTATGTATATATATATGGTTAAAAAAGTCATTGTATTTTTTATAATATGACGATTTAGTTATTGAATTTTAGTTTGTAACGATTTTGTTCATATGTTTTTAAATTGGTAACAATTTAACCATTATATTTTATTATGTAACAATTTAGTTCCTCTAGTTCAAAATTTTTAACAATCGAGTCCCTACGATAAAAAATGTTAACAAAATTAAGTGTCGGTTTTTATCATGTGACGATTTGGTATTTATAATTATAGTCTCTCATGGGTTTACCGATCGACATATATAAGAAAATTAACCAATGTTTTTATGACAGCGACTAAATTGTTGTAAACTTTAAACTATAACAACTAAATTGTTACATACTAAAATTTATGAGTTAAATTATTACCAATTTGAAATTACAATAACTAAATCGTTACAAACTAAAGTTCATGAACTAAATCATTATTTTTATGAAAACACAGGGATGAAATGTGTTATACATTTCTTATGTCAAGGTCACTACACTTTAACCTATATATATCCCATGGTCTTGATTTGTTATTTAAAATTAAATGGCAACAAGGTGTTTCAAATGGAGAATTTATTTCACACTCAATATAGTATATTACATTTACCATAAACAATGTTAATATGATATGCAATAAAGTTTTTTCGCCAAAGTAACATAGTTCATCGCTAATTGACATGTACCTAAATTTTTTTTTATAAGATATACAATAAAACTAATTAATTTATCGCAATATCATTTATGATATAATAACATTGATAAAAGTGAATGAAAGGTCTCGTGATATGTCAAACAGGGCGTGGCACAAAAAGACACTAAATTTTCGTAAGAGACTACACCGTATGTCTTTTGACTTTTGTAAACTTTTTATATCAAAATTTGAAAAAGTAGTCATAATTTAATTTATGTGTCCACGATAAATACATTTAAAGATATTTTAATACTTGATTGTGACATAAATGTTCTGATATATAAATAGGTATTAATTTATGACATGCTAGTTGTCAATCAACCATCAATAGTTTAATTAACTATATTAACGAAAGCAATTATTCTCAAATGTATTAATGATTTGTATGTATGGTAAGGTAATTAAGATTCACATTATTTTTATAAATTCTGTTAAATTATTTGAAACAACCACTCTCCAGATACGGTATATACCAACAAGATCATGAGAATATATTTTACTTATCGCGTGTTCCAAATAGGAATATTGACGTTTGGTAGGTTAGGTTTGAAAACAAAAGTTATACACATGTACATCTATTCATACCCAACCTGATGTAAATGAAGTAATTTTTGTTACATGCTTTCTTTACGGCGATACCTCAAACTAAATAATAATAATAAATAAATAAATAATCGATGAGTTCATAAACAATAGACAAGACAGAGTTAGAGAGACTTTTCAAATAAAACCGAAATTAATCTCGCTGCCTCAGAGACACCAATCGAACCCAACTTTATATATATATATATATTTATTTATTTATATTCTCGTTCTTTTTAAGACAAAAAATTCTTCTGACTCAATCAAAACAACTTTCAATTATGCAAAAATCAAATCAAACTGAATTGATTTTTGTTAATTAAACCCAATTATTAGTATGAGTTGAATTATTTAGATTATTGGATTATTGGAATACTTCTAATTGTTTGAAGCCTAAATTAATGGTGTGTTTGGAAGCGATCGATAAAATAAATAATTTTGAAAAATAAAATTTAAGTATAATTGAATTTTCAAAATTTAAGTATAATAAATAATTTTGAAAAATAAAAATAAATTTTCAATAAAATTTAAAAAAAAGAGGCAGGGACATTCAAACACGTTGCTTAACTGTTAAGCGAAGTCGACACATAATTATACCACAAAATTTGAAATTCAATATGGTCACGACACGTGGACAAAGTAGGATTGTAAATTAGAAGTTTTACACGACAGTAGATGCCCACAATTCCAACCGCCTTTAAGAAAACGCGGAGTTTGAGGGATCACGTGAATGCTGCTGAAAAATCGTCCAATTACGAAAATAAAATGAAAAAGGAAAAAATACTAATTTAGAAATTAAAATTTGTTCGGTTTAGTTTATATTTATAAATACATATATTTTGTTTTTGTTGGGAGCGCATCGTCAGATCTCGTATCCCGTCCGGACAGCTGACAAACTGCCGGATATTTTTGGGCGTTGTCCATCTTGGGAGTTGCGAGCCACAGCGGGAGCGGAGAAAGCCCCTCTCGTTCTTCTATTCTGA